CCATTTTGGTGCAGGAATTATGCATCAACCTAATACAATACATAATAGCTACGACTTCATGGTGAGTTCAAAGAAAATAAATAAATCCCAAAATGAAAACTCGCTAACATCGGTGATTTGAGATGGCCAAGAAATTATAGCGGAATACTTCTAGCGGACAGTAGGACGACGAAAGGAATTGCCGAGACTAGTCTAATATATTGGTACTGATAATCGGCAAATAGTAGAAAAATCACTCAAGTCAAAAAAAAGGTTCAGAAATGCTTTGGTAGATAAATTGTGAAGCAAATCAGATGTCACAAAATGGGGTGAGAATTTATTAAATATCTTTGTATCGCAATTTACTCAAGAGTATTTACGCTTACAAGTTGGCTGGAACCAGTTGACAAGTGTGAGTTCCTATGTGGCCTGACGTGTAAACTAAACTGCGGGAAAAAAATGGGCAGAATGAAAGTGCGGGAATGTGGATCTGTAATTTTACCTGAATGGATGAAGGTTTTTAGGTCTAAGATCATCATTGCCTTGTTTCCTCTTAGGTTTTGCTCCTGACTCAACTGATGCACACCATAGTTTCACAGTCTGACTGCCCTTTCGGGATTGGTTGCCATCTCCGCAAATATTCGTCTACGCTTTTGACAGTTGCTTGCTCGTGGATAGTATTTGATCGCAATCGACATCTCCGCAAAAATCGGCTCCACACTCTTCAGATGGTCATGAAGCGCTTTGTACAGCTCATCATTGTTGTAGTAAATAATGCTCTCCGGCACAATGTAGTCGTTTCGTACGGCAATAATTGCTAAAGCAGAAGGATGCAACATTGAAAAAGATTGCACAATAGTGGAAAAACTGGCTGCTTGTCTGATTTAACAAGTTCCTGTAGTAGATGCCACACACCAAAACGACTAGGTAAGGATTATTTCTAAGCCTACGCATGCTGTCTCTGTAGAAGTTTTTTGAGTACGTCAGACCTAGTGTTGTCAAGATGGAAAGAGTGGTAAAATGAGTCTTCGTCCTTCTCCTTTCTCCCATTGCAGTTGCGAACTTGAGGTCGAAATTATTGCTTAATTCCAACTCTAAAATCTGTTTCACCATATTACAGTTGCAATCAGTAGAATTGTAGCTCTCGTTTGGGAGAAAGACATTCTGCATAGAAATTTTTCAAACTGTTTGTCTATCTTTATCTTATATTAGGTTGAGTCAGAAGTAATGAGAATTTTTCGCTCCCCTTTTCAAACTTTCCGCAAATCATGTAGAGTAGTAAAAATAGAGTAACATAAACTGTATTATATGTAGCTTTTCTTACTCTTTTCAG